CAGAATGAGAGAAAATATTTTTAAAGTATATATCTGATAAGGAAATTGTATCTAGAATATGTAAAGAAGTCTTACAACTGAATAACAAAAATATAAATATCCCAATAAGAAAGGAAAATAGGATTTTAACAGGCATTTCTCTAAAGAAGATATACAAATGGCTAATTAGCACATGAAAAAAAATGCTGAGGGTCAAATGCAAATCAAAACCATGGCATACCCATTCGTACCCATAACAATACCTAAAGTAAAAGGGACAGATGTTAGTGTTCGTGAGGTTAGAGGGAAATTGGAACCCTCAGGCACTGCTAGTGGGAATGTGAAACGATGCAGCCCCTTTGGAAGTGAGTCTGGCAGTTCCTTAAAAGAATAAACAAGATTACAATAGGATTCAGTAATCCCACTCCTAAATCTAGGAATGAAAGCATGTTTACACAAAAACTTATACATGAATATTTATAGCAGCATTATTGATAGTAGCCAAAAAGAGAAAATAGTCTAAACATTCATCAATTTATACATGAAGAAACACAATTGTTATATCCATACAATGGACTGTTATTTAGAAATGATGTTAAATACTGATTTATGCATCAACATGGATGAACTTGGAAAACATGTTAAGTAAAAGAAGCTACTCATAAAAGGCTACATTTTATATGATTCCATTTATTTCAAATGTCCTGAGTAGGCAAATCTGTTTAAAGAAAATGCAGATTTGTGGTTGCCAGATGATCCCTAGTGAGGGTGGTGGAAGAGATTTGGAGAATAACTGCTGGTGAGTGTGGAGTTTCTTTAGGGGGTAAATGTTCTGAGTGTAGATAGTGGTGGTGATTATAAAGGTAAACTGAGGCTGGAGCCGAACCAGGAACGAAGACACAAGGCAAATGGCAGTGAGAATGGCCTTTATTAGGACTCCCAGGCGAGGTTCCTTGGTCCAAAGGCCTGGGCCAAGGAAGTCGCGCTGAGGGAGGAGGGTAGGGGCTTTTTATAGCCCGAGAGGTAGGGAAGCTGGTTGTGCAAACAGGGCCTGGGGGGTCTTGAAACTACTAGGGCAGGAGTTGAGTAAGGGTCATGAGGAAGGGGTCTTTGGAAACTGTCAACCGAAACTGCTGTTTACAAACTTGTGGAATGCAGGTGAGCTGCAGGTCATGGGGGGGTGTGGTTGCCCAGCCGGAACCTCTGACGCATGTAGGTCTGCGGGTGTGTACAAGGGTGAAGGGAGTCTTTAACAAAAGGCCTGCTACGCTGGGTAACGCCGCCATGTTGGGTCTAGATTCCTGCCTAACAGTGATTGCACAACTTTATTAAAAATCACTGAAGTATATGGTTTAAAAGAATGTACTGTGAATTGTATTTTAATGAAGCTGATACTTTTAAAAAGTTATAGTGGTTGATACTTTATCATATTACACAATTAACACTTTTTTAAGAGAAAAATTTTCCTTTTTATACTGGTATTTTAGTGTACTTTTACAAAGAAGTTTATTAATAACTAAAGCAGCTAATGTTACAATCAGTTGAATTTTGTAGATCACATATCAAAAAATTGTTTTGATGATTAACTGATAATTAAATTAGACTTTTCCTCAATTTCATTAAAATAATTAAACACCACCTGACTTGGAAAAGGATTTGTTACCTAGTCATTATTTATTCATCTTCTCAAATCCCCAGAACATATCTAAAAAGACATTGCCAAGTTATATCACAATGACTGTTCATTGTATATGGTTTTTTTTTTTTCCCTGGAGACACGTTGTTTGGCCGGATACACTTGAAAAAGATTGGGAAAATTGAGTTATTGTCTTCTTCAATATACTGTTGCAAAACAGTATTTTTCACTGAAGTTTCTTTCTGTGCTCTAAACTAATTATCAACAAAACGTTTGAACTGCAGATTTAATTTATTTAACTTATGAGAAATATCTATTAAATAAGTTAGCTGACAAAGCCGCTTCTGTCAAACCATTTTTTTCAGTGTTTCAAACAAACTCTGTGCATTCTTTGCTGATGAAAGAGTCAAGGTTTTTAACAACAACAAAAAAAAATATCAGCACTGTCATTGTAAATATTTAGATAGCTTGAGTGGGACAAATTGTTTTATTTTGTGAAACAGAAGGGTGGCTAGGAAAGGGAAGATGGGAAGTGATTACTCCCATGGCACACGGGTGTATGTTCTCAGGCAAATCTGTCTTTGAATTTGAAGTTGTGCATACATATTCCCTTAAAACTATGCCTGTGCATCTTCTTGAAGGTCTTTCTGTGTCACCCGGACTGGAGTGCAGTGGCACAATTATGGCTCACTGTAACTTCAACATCCTGGGCTCAAGTGATCCTTCCACCTCAGCCTCCAGAGTAGCTGGGACTGCAAAGCGTGCGTCTTCACACCCAGCTAATTTTCATATTGCTTGTATAGATGGGTGTTACTCAGGCTAGTCTTGATCTCCCGGGCTCAAGGGATCCTCCTGCCTCGGCCTCCCCGACAGTGCTGGGATTACAGGCATGAGCCACCATGCCTGGCCTCCTTTATATTTATTTATTTTCCGAACTGGTCTCTCGCTCGATCGCTCGGCCTGGAGTGCAGTGGCACAATCTTGGCTCATTAATACCGTCACCTTTTTTCACGTGGTTCCCGTGTTCTCTCTGCCTCAGCCCCCGTGAGTAGCTGTTACAGGCACCCGCCATGACGTCTGGCTTTTTTTTTTTTTTTTCTTATTATATTTTTTAGTAGAGATGGGATTTGTCATGTTGGCCAGGCGTGGTCTCGATCTCCTGACTCAAGTGATCCGCCTGCCTTGGCTCCCAAGTGCTGAGATTATATGGGGTGAGCCCACTGCTCCCCGGCCTCTGCACTTTTTTAAAGTCTATCATGACAGAAGTCTGCTTCTCGTTTTGATACAGTTAGGAGTATTCAATGAATTTAGTAGGTGCTGTTTCTACTCCTACTGTTAGTCTTTGCGAATGATAGCATGGCCTTGAAGAAGCATACCTTTATGCATAGTGGTTGAGTGTTATACAGGTAATATTTATTTATTGGTTGGGTTTTTTTTTAATTTTTCTATTTTATTTATCTAGTTCTGAGCATGGAGTCTTGCTCCTTGTTTCCCAGCATGGAGTGCAGTGGTAGGATCTCTGCTCACTACAACCTCTACCTCCCGGGTTCAAGCAATTCTCCTGCCTCAGCCTCCCGAGTGACCTGGGATTTACAGGTGCCCTGCCACTGCACCCAGCTAATTTTTGTGTTTTTAGTAGAGACGGGGTTTCACCATGTTGGCCAGGCTGGTCTTGAACTCTTGACCTCATGATCTGCCCACCTCGGCCTCACAAAGTGCTGGGATTACAGGCTTGAGCCACCATGCCCGGCCACAGGTATATTTCGATGCTGGTACACTTTGTATTCACTTGGACTACATTTTGCTAGAGATGATACCTGTGACACTTGTCTGTGCTCTGCTTTCCTCTCCTGCACTTGTCACAGATATATCTTGCTGTGTATATGGAACCTGGGAATCCTCCACAGCTGGCAGCTTGTACTAGTTGTTTGGAGCTAGAATAAGAGGCGATTCTCTGTGATAGCGATTTTGTTTGTTTTCTTAGTTTGTATCTTTGCTCTTTTTGTAGTTTGGGTTTTCTAATTATTTTATTAATGTGATTTCCTTTTGTTAAACTTTATTGTCCTTAAACCAGCTTTGAAGACGTGCTGGAAGATAATTTTCCATGGGTCTCACACTTTCCTGTGTGTTTTGTGAACAGAGGCTGTGGCTGCCTTTGTTCTTGTCTATCTTTTCAAGATTATTTCTATATACAGTGAGTAGCTTTGGAAGATGCTGTAGTGACTTCATAGCAGCGGTCAGGTTTGCATATCTCCCTGGAAGATAGAGCTGGTGTCTCCTGCTAGTGCAAAGGGATAGGCATCTTTCCCATGATTAAAGATTCCAGCTTGTGAAGTTTAGGGTTTTCTCTCCTATAATGCAACACACTGCATGTGCAGGTGGCATGTGGCCCTATTCAAGTTGCTCTGTGACAACTGGGGCTCAGGGAACTAGAGCCCAGTGGTCACAAGGTAATGTTGGTATTCTGGCTACCCCTGTTATTGTAAGTAACAAATACCTTATCTATCACCCAGCAGACTTCTTTCCTCTGCCAGCATTTATTAGCTTGTGACAGGCTAACATGTTGGCTTGAAAGTAGTGTAAATCTCCGATCCTTCACAGGTCTTGACAGTATGTTGGTAACACAAATAAATGCATAAACAGCTATCTGGGTTCAGCTCAGAAATGTCAGTTTTTACCCATGATTTTCATTAAAAACTATATTATATATTGTATAAATGTAGCATCGGTTTTTCAAATTTTTTTCTACATTATAGTAAGTTTTTGGTTTGCTATTTATATGTAATGAGAATTTTAAAAGCAAACTCTTGACGTCAAGTAATCCACGCACCTCCACCTCGCAAAATGCTGGGATTACAAACATGAGCTATGAGCCACTGTGCCCAGCCCTGTGTTTGTAAATACATGTCTAGTTATGATTTTGCTTTTTTTGGGTTTTTTTTTTTTTTTTTTTTGAGGCAGAGTCTCGCTCTGTCACCCAGGCTGGAATACAGTGGCGTCATCTCCGCTCACTGCAACCTCCGTCTCCCGGGTTCAAGTGATTCTCCTGCCTCAGCCTCCCTTGTAGCTGAGACTACAGTTGCATGCCACCATGCCCAGCTAATTTTTTGTATTTTTAATAGAGACAGAGTTTCTATTAAACATGTTAGTAGTAGACGGGGTTTCTACTAAACATAGCCCCATGTTAGCCCGGATGGTCTCTATCTCCTGACCTCGTGATCCACCCACCTCGGCCTCTCAAAGTGCAGGGATTACAGGCGTGAGCCACCGCACCTGGCCTAGTTATGTTTTTAAAAAAAAATTATTGGTCTGCCTCATCACATATTTATGAATCAGTTTTAATTCCATGAATGTCATAGTGATGTACTGTTTGCCTCTATTTCAGAATATTGGAAAGAAGATGACCTGTCAGGAGTTCATTGCCAATCTACAAGGGGTAAATGAGGGTGTTGATTTCTCCAAGGATCTGCTGAAAGTAAGCATGGAACTATTGGTTTTTAATGTACACTTATGTTTCTATTTGCTGCTTACAGCTTAATCCTAAGTAGGCTAAGGATCACTTTATTTTGCTTTTTGCTTTTAGTTTTACTTGTGATGTTTCTTTTAAGCCTTGTCCTTGATTTTTCATGCTGCAAAATACCTTAAGTTGATAATTTCTAGAAGTCTGCGTTATAATCAATAATACTGAGGTAAGTAAATTTGGAATGGTTGGTGATACAAATAGTGAGTGGCAGTTTTTGTTTGATTTATCTGTAAATAGACTGTCAGAATTTGAGAAAGGTCACAAGGGTATATGCACTATGGAAACAGAGAAGCATTTGCAGGCTATAATGGAAACACTTCCAACTGTGTTCAATCCCTAGTCTCAGAGCCACTCAGGTTGTCTCTGGAAATAGATTAAATTAAATTCTCAGTAATTGTAGAGTGCCTGAACTATTTGCATTTGGCTTTATTATTGGTAACAATCAGCATGTTTTTCCCCATCATCAGATTGTTTTCAAGGAGACAACAAAATCAACTTTGGAATTCATGCATGCTCCAGCATGGTAAATGAGATGGGCATTTGATTGAGTACAAAATAATGGTAATATGAATATTTTGGGAGTTGTAGGATAAGATGTGTACATTGAGAATGTGATTTTTATAGATCTCTATTTGATTCTAGCCTTTTTAAAAACTTAGTACACGTATAGGTTTCTTTTGGAATCAATTTCTTTAAATGAATTTTCGAGAAAGGTGACATTTGAATCAGCTGTGGTATGGAAATATATGACATGATATGGAAATGTTGAAAGACATGTCCTTTGTTATGTTTTATGTAACTTTTAAGCTATATAGAATAGAGTTCTGCCAGATTTGGAAAGACGTATCTACTATGGTAAACGAAAGAAGCCATTACGATGCAGTAATATGACATTCTTAGTCTTACTGACTTTATTTGCAGCACATTACAAAAAATTATGAAAAAGGGCAGGAAGAAAAGTAGCTTTAATTTATGGAGTAAAGAAGGCATTTTTTTAGGTCCTTCGTAGAGCAAATGCTGCCATTTCTAAAGGTATAATTCCAAATGGGAGCAGGAGATAAACGGTGCAGGATTGTGACGTGATAAAGATGTTTTATAGCTTCCATTAAATCCGGATGGTGTTAACAAGACTTTTTTCAGTCTAGTGGTATTTGCGTGGAAAATTACGGAGTCTCTCCAAGAGAGGATTTGTGAGGCTTTTATCAACTTATGTCAGAAATGAAAGTTGACAGGAAAATTCTCATAGTGAAGTTTTTAGAATTTAGTGGTAGGCTTAGGGTAACCTGCATGACTACTGGCAAATTATTGGCTAATTTACAGCATGGTTGGTGGAGCTGTATTAAACCATGTATGGTTAATATGCAGTCCAGAGGCTACTGTTCACCTTGAGTGAATGTGTTCTTTGACTTCATCTACCAAGAATTTGCCAGATGATTTGTTGCTGTTGTGCAATGGGATTATGTTTGTAAACCTCGGGGAAAATGTGTATTATTTGTTTTTTTGGTTGTTGTGAGAAGGTGATACTGAAATGATACTGAAAATGGAGGTGTTTAGCATGGAGATTGTCAAGTGAAATACTGATTCTCTTCCATAACAAACCCCAGCCGCTCACCCATCCAAGATAGTTTTCCATTTCAATAGGAATGGGTTTTATTGAAAATTTCAGTAAGAAAAGGTTTTCTTTAAACCATGTTTGTTTCATTTCTCTATTCTGTGTGCTGTTCATTTTTCCTTCCCTTTCCTCCCTTTCTTCTTGACTTCCTTTTGTCCTGGTTTCTTTTGATTTGTTTTTTCCTTTCTCTTTGGCTTTCTAGTTTTCTTTTGGTATCTTTTTTTCTCATTCTCTTTGTCTTAGGATAGCTATCGCTGGATTCCCTGCTGAGATAAATTATGAGGTGGAATATGTACTTGAATTTTGGGGGAAAATACTGTTATACATGTGTTACACACATACATACCTACATAGAAACTTTTCAACGTTTGGTGTCATCTTACAGGTTTTTTAATATCCTGGTCATTCTCTCTTTCTTTGCCACCTTTCCTATCTCCACGTGACAGGTGTGTGTGACATTCAGTTTATTTTTTGTGAGATAAAAGGAAAAATTATGACCTTTATTAGGTTTCCTCATAATCATATATAGAAACTGCTAGATTCAATATCAAAAAATGCTTAAAGTTACATAGATTAAACTGAGTTTTTCATTGTTACATATTGACCTTGATACTTTTAGATTAATTTGGATCAAAAGTAACATTTGGATTTATGTCTCTTCAGATTTCTTTGACTGGGCAGTAACATTTGTACTTTTATGTCTGTTGTTCTGTGTTATTTTGTAGTTGGGAACATTATTGAAGGTCTGCTATGTGTTTACTAGGTGTTGTGGGATTGGAGAAGATGCTGAAACCAAATGGGCACCTGTCCTCAGAGATCACAGACTACTGAGAAACACTGGAGGGGTCTTTCTCCATAAAATGGACAGTTATTCCATGTTGAAATAAAAGTATAAGCCAAATTCTGTTTTGTTTTCTGAAGAGAAAGGGTTAAGGTTTAAAAGATCTAAAAAATAGACTATGACATATTTAAATGTATGAGAAATGAGAAGCTTGTGTTAAGTCCTTTAATTCAGAGAATTTAATTAATATTTTGCTTCTGAATTTGCCTTATACTGTATTGAAGGGATGGATGATACATTGAGCCCTTTTTTTGGTTTAAAATTCCATTGCAGTTTTCGTTGTTTAGTCAGTTAACCTAAACCGATATTTGACTTTTTTCCCCTACAAGGTGCTTCGAATATAAGATATGGATATCTGTAATAAAAGTGAAATAAGTTGGATATCAGAAGACAACCAATGATAGGATATTATTTACGTTCTTCAAAGCAGAAAGCTGGGAGGAGGTGATGTTTGAGATGGTATATTAGTCCATTCTCCCACCGCTATAAAGAAATACCTCATACTGAGTAATCTATAAAGAACAGAGGTTTATTTTGCTCATGGTTCTGCGGGCTGTGCAGAAAGCATGATGCTGGCACCTGCTTGACTTCTAGGGAGGCCTCAGGAAACTTAAAATCATGACGTATGAGAAGGCAGGCACATCTTACATAGCTAGAGCAGGAGGAAGAGAGGGAGGAGGGAGATACTACACACTATTAAATAGCCATAGCTCAGGAGAGCTCACTCATCATGAGAACAGCACCAAGGGGATGGTGCTAACCCATTCATGAGAACTCTGCCGTCCTGATCCAATCACTTCCCACCAGACCCCATATCCGGTACTGTGGATTATTATCCAACGTGAGATTTGGTGGGGACACAAACTATGTCAAATGGCCTTTTGAAGTATAGGTAAAAGACTTACTTGTTATCTTGGTTATTATTCCATTGCACTTCCTGCCACTTCTTTCACCCAAAGACATTCTCCTATGTACCCCTCTCAACTACATGATCAAAACAAGACAGTAATTCATTTAACAAAATAGGCCAGATCATCTGGTATGATTGACATAGTACAGATAAACACAAAAAAGTCTGTTACTGTCTTACAAGTTTCTGAATAACACTGTGATCATGTTTCTACGGGCTCCGCCCATCCCAGCGGTTGGATGTGGTTTGTATTCAAACATCCTTGGGGACAATGTGGAAGAGAAAGGGGAGGTTCTGCTTTGGGTCTGACAGATTTAGTAAAACATTCCTAAGGCTCTAATAAGTATTACAGCTGCTAAGGACATGAATAAAGAGGGATAAGAATGGAGAATGCGGGCTAGCTCTGTATTGTAGGCTGTGTTTTGAAGGACAGTATAGTATGAGGATTGAGATTATGATTTGAGAGCTGTACTTGACTGGGTTCTAATACCAGGTTCTATCTCTTAATAGTCAGGGGACTATGTCAAGTAAATGCTGTATTTCAATGTCCTCATCTATAAAATGGGAGATTTTATTAGTACCCACGTCATTTGGTTGTTTCAATACTTGAATATATATATATGTGTGTGTGTGTGTGTATATACATATACACGTGTATGTATATATACAGCTTTTAGAGTCCTCACATGTAGTAAGTATTGTCTGTTAGCTATTAAAACTTTTTATTTTTGATATTATTTTACTTAGCTTAAAGTGGGCTGGAACGGGACCCTATCCTTTCCTGCAGGTACCTGGGTTTAAGATTTTTTAGAGGCAAGTAAGATTAGTGGCAGTAGTCAAAACCTCTCCCCACCATCCCTTTTTAGCTTGCTGCTTTCCAAGGATACATATCCTCTGCTCTTTGAAAGGAACCACCTGTGACGTTGACCTGAAAATGAACCTTGCTTAACCCTTACCTTTTTACCTTGTTAACAGCCTCTTTCTCCTGGGTCTATCCCTCTTCCCCCATTTTTATACCTTACATTTGGTTTGCGTTTTTAGTGACTTCCGTCTTTGATGCTGCAAGAGGGGAAGTACTTAGGGTACATTGGCTCTTGGACTGGTCCTGGAATTTTGAAAAACCTGTGAGGAAGCAAACTAGTTCATACTCTCCTAAGATCCCAAGATGATCCTAGGATATTGGAGATGTGAATTATTTGAAGTGATTAAAATATCCCTGGGGGAAACAAGGGTTGCTAGAGATCTGCCTTCCAAATGGAGAGGCCTTGGTCTGAAGGATCAGGTCCGGGAGTTGTTGGGATTCTGCTTTGTCTCGCCGCAATTTTTATGGACTGTGTCAGCCTGGGAACGTCTTTTACTCAGTCTCATCGGCTGCTGATAGCAACGAGTGAAGTGTTAGCTTTTGATTATGTGCATATTTCTGAAACTCTTCACTCTGTAGAATAACCTTTGAAAATTTATAACAGCCTAGATATGGAATCAACCTAAATGTTCATCAGCAGATGAAAGGATAAAATGTGGTAGATGTGCACAGTGGAATACTATTTGGCCTTAAAAAGGAGGAATTCTGTCATTTGTGACATCGATAA